GGGGGAGAACAGAATTGGGGTGCATGATATGAAACCCCCAAAGATTCTATAAGGAAGTTTAAATTTTTTTTCTTCTGTGTCATCTAAGTTCCCAAATCTCCCTTTACTATTTCCTTTGAGTCACTTTCTCAGTGGTTACCATGGGGACTGTAATGCCATTCAACAGTGTACCAGGGTCTGTCTAACTTTCATGATATGCAGGAACTCTGACCTTCCACTGCTGGGCTCCTTCGGTATCTCCCCTGGGCTCTTGTCATACAAACTATTTTTTACGTACTCTATATTTTCCAATGTAGACTTTTTGTAACAGCTTCCAAATAAAATTCACAACTTTATAATTCATTCATTTCAATAATACAGTTCAGTGGCTTCCAATATAGTTGTAGAGGCATGCATATATATATATATCTCACTATCAACACATTCAGTTTTAGAACCGGGAAAGAAAAAAAATGTAGCCACAAAAACATACATAAAACCTTATTTATTTTGTTCTAAGACTTCTCCTAGTTGTGTCCACCACTACACAGTCATTTGTTTTCTGTATTTTCTGATTCACCTACACGGAACATTTCACATCAAAGGAATCATACAAGGCCAGTTATGGTGGTGTTGCCTGTAATCTCAGCCCTTGGGAGGTAGAGGCAGGAGGATCGGGAATTAAAGGCCGCTCTGAGCAGCATACCTGTCAGAAAGAGTGGCTGAAGAGATGGCTCCCCATTAACTGCATCTCTAGTCCCAGGGGATGTGACTCCAGAAACCCCTTCCGGCTTCTACAGGCACTGTGTGGCGCAGACATACACACAGCAAAACACGCATGCACATAAAAATAAGTAACTTAAAAATTAATTGTGGGGCTGGGCAGTGGTGGCACACACCTTTAATCTCAGCACTTGGGAGGCAGAGGTAGGCAGATTTCTGTGAGTTTGAGGCCAGCCTGGTCTACAAAGCAAATTCCAAGACAGTCAGGGCTGTTACACAGAGAAAATAAACAAACAAAATTAATTGTGGTAAAACGTTCTTGCCATAGAACTTACCAGCTTAACTTTATTTTATTATTCTTCCTTGAAGTAGCAGGAATTTAATTTGATGCCTTGTTGGTGATAGGCAGGTACCATGTTACTGAACTACTTCCCTAGTGCTTCCTTTTTTTTTTTTTTTTTTTTTTTTTTTTTTTTGTTTTTAGGAACAGGGTTTCTCTTTGGAGCCTATCCTGGCACTCGCTCTGGAGACCAGGCTGCCCTCGAACTCACAGAGATCCCCCTGCCTCTACTTCCCAAGTGCTGGGATTAAAGGCATATGCCACCAACACCCGGCCCCTGAGGGCCTCTTTTATTTTCATGTCAGACTCTCCCTAAACTGCTGGCTTTCAGTGTGCAATCCAGCCTTCGCCTCCCAGATAGCTGAGATGGCAGGTGTTTTAAATCATGCCTACCTCATCATAGCCATTTTTAAGGGTACAGGTCAGTTATACTAAATATGCTCATGTTGTTGGGCAAATATCACCACTATCTGTCTTCAGAATTCTTCTTACCCTGCAAAATCCAAGTTCTATACCCACTGTGATTTACAGGGAAATGCCAGTCCGAAGGCTCATGTGTTTAAATACTTAGTTCCAGTTAATGCATTGCTTTGGGAGGTTGTAGAACTTTGTTTTCTTTTTCTTTTATTTTTTTATTTTTCAAGACAGGGTTTCTTTGTGTAGCCCTGGATATCCTGGAACTCCCTCTGCAGACCAGCTGGCCTCGAACTCACAGAGATTCACCTGCCTCTGCCTCCCAAGTGCTGGTATTAAAGGCATGTGCCACCACCAACCAGCAAAATTTTAAAATTAAATTTATTTGTGTATTTTATATGTTGTGAAGGCCTTGTGCAGGTAACCATAGCCACTGAGTTCATGTGTGCTTTGGTCATATATTGTTTGTGATTTAATAAAGCTTGCCTGGGGGTCAGAATGCAAAGCCAGCCACACAAGTCAGTCATAGATGCCAGGCAGTGGTGGTACACACCTTTAATCCCAGGACTCAGGAGACAGAGGCAGACTGGATCTCTGTGAGTTCAAGGCCACCCTGAATTACACAAGAGTGAATTAGTCGAATAACAGAGCTCATGCCTTTGATCCCAGAACTAAAAAGGTATATAAGGAAGAAGCAAAGGGTCTCAGTTTCCAGTCCCAGGAAAGACAGGATCACCCCAGCCTTGGTAGAGCTCTCTGGTGGCTTGGCTGCTTTGCTTCTCTGATATTCAGCTTGAACCCTAATATCTGTCTCCGAATTTTTATTATTCCTGCTATACTCTGCATTAACCACCTCCCACTGCTAGAAGGAGCTTATTTGACTAAGGTTGAAAGCAAAACAGATCTATGGACAAAACAATATTTAGAAGACAGTTCAACATGACTATTTGTAAAACAATGATAGTAGGTTCGCCTGGCTATAGGGCCTATTACCTCCCAGCCAAGGGCTTCTGACCAAGTTTACAGTACCAGGCAAAAATTCCCTCCTGTGGAGCAGGTCTTTAATCCAATCAGAAGTGGTTGGCTATACCCAAACAGTCATGCCACTAGTACACATCTTGTCTATCATCATGCAGAGTCCAGTACTGGGTAAAACCACTGATGTATTTTCTCTCCCAGTGACCTGCATAGCACCTTACAAGCACTATAAAAGCTAAGCAGAAAGGAGGATGTTTCTTAGTCAGTTCAATTGATTTCTGTATGTCCTACAACCAAAGAGTGTGGTGTCTTCAGCAATAGGACCTTACTGTAGACGGAAGTTTCTGTCCTGCCCAGTCCTGCAGCTGTTTAGTTCAAAATAAACAGAGGCTTCTATTAATTATAAACTGTTTGGCCTGTTGCTTAGGCTTCTTATTGTCTAGCTCTCTCTTAATTATTCACCCATTCTATTAATCTGTGTATCTCCATGCAGTTTTGGCTTACTGATGATGCCCAGGTTTCTCTGACTCCGTCTATTACCTTTCTCTGTGCTTGTTCGGATTTCCCACCTGGCTAAATCAACCAGTAAGAGAAACATATTCACAGCATACAGAAGGACATCCCCCATCACCTTACCATCTACGTCTGCTGAATAACCAAGAGTAATAGCAGTGGTCTGTGTTGTTCTGTGGGCCTCTGGGTTACTGGCTCATTTTAAGTTTTTAAGAAAAGATGTTTGAATGTTTTGCCTGCATGTATGTATGTGTATTGTGTCAATGCATAGTGCCCTTTGAGGCCAGATGAGGGTGCCAGGTACCTCATAAATGGAGTTAAGGAAAGTTGTAAGCTACTATGTGGCAAGGGGGAACAAAACTTTCGTCCTCTGCAAGAAAAGTAAATGCTGAGATATTTCTCCAGTCCTAGTATTGGCTTATTTTAAAACAGAATTCCCTAAAGTTGCACAATACAGTGATTGTACTCAGAATCCTCTCCAGTGTTTCCAACATGTAGAGAACCTCCCTTAACATTGATTTGAAGTTTGTTTTAGTTTGATTTCCAACATTGTAAAAGGTTGAAGGCCAAGAGCTAAGTCTCCCAGACTTATTTTTACCTGGGATTAATCATATAACCTAGATACCACCAAAGAGATTCTATGGCCCTAGTGTAAAATTGTGCAACAAGAGATGGCATATTTTCTGATAATCATAGTAGTTGAAGTGTTCAGTTCTTCTGGTACAGATAAAGAAGTTTCTAACATCTTGTCTCTAGTATCTCACATGCCAATGGAAAGCAGATGGTGAGTGATGGTTCCTGTAAGATATTCCTATAAAATGGCTTGGCATTCCTCTGGTCTTTCTTGACATTGGCTGTGTTGTTTATAATAGGAAGCACTGAAGTCTGGTCCCTAGTCCTCTTGGACATCGTATAAACTAAGAACTTTTAACAATTCTTTTTTACTTAAGCCATCTAGATGGATTCTATCATCTGCAACTAAGAGTTCTGTTATAACCAGTGAAGTAAAAACAACCCTCCCCCCAAAAAACCAAACCAAACTCAGGGACACAATGAAGAGAAATTTCTGCTACTCTGAATTGTACAGGGGCCAAAGGCTTAACTACATTTTACAAATTTCCTTAACACTTAAGTTAGATTCAGCATCAGCATCAGCAAATACAGATTTATAAACACCAAAGCAGGGACAGGCAAGATGGTTCAGCAGGTGACAAGCGTGGTGACCTTTGTTTCCTGAGGCCCACATAGCAGAAGAGAACTGACTCCCGGAAATTGTCCTCTGATCTATACGTGCATGTGGCACCCATAGTAAAAAAATAAAACTTTAAATAGCAACAACAGTAAGCAAAGGTTATTAACTTTCTGCTTTCTGGGCAAAATTTCCTTTCCCGCCTCTCTCATTCAGTAATTTCAATACCTTTATACACTACTTCTAGCATTAAAATTTTCTGCCTGCAATCATTGTGATGGGTTGTTTTCTTGGCAAGACACAGGTTCACAACGCAATTCCTCCTTTAGTAGGAAGAAAACAGCACTTATTGGTAGTCTCTGAATAGCTGATGAAGTAAATTCAAGTGCTTTCAACTGATCTTTAGTCCATTATCCATATCCTATGTCTGGTCCACCTTCATCTCAATTCCTAAAACCATCTCTGTTGCATCCTTGACTGTTTAAAGTCCCTGCAGAGCTGCACTTCTCATGTGTATGACTACCCTGTCCACAGTACCAAATCAACTGTCTTCCACCTTGGCATACCTCATAGTTTATTACCTGTTCCCCCCTAACTGGAAGCCCCAGAAGACTGGATACAGATGCCGTCCACTCTTAACTGCTTGCACACTTGACACCAAGCAGATGCTTAAGGAATGTACTAGCACCTGTGACAGAAAATCACAGGCAGAAATGAGTTGCCCTGCCGATCCCCAGGTACAAGGGCTCAGGTGGTATCTTCTTTGTACATAATGTGCTAGTGTGTACAAGTGCATGCAGAATAGGAGCACAGAGGCAGGCTGAGACCTACGTGGAGAAGGACCTGGGACACAGACAACAGGAATATCAGGCACCGGGAAGCTTTAATAAAGCAGAGCGCCTCTTTTTCTACCCTGTCCCACCCTCCTCTCCTTTCTCCCCTCCTCCTACTCCTCTCTCAGTTCTAGACAGGTCCAGCCTGTCCAAGGATGTCTCTTTCAGCTGAAGGCATTAATTCTTCTGTCCCCTCAGCCGCTCTAGCTTCCTCCGAAGGTCTGGGGGTACCTTAGCCCCTGCTGCCAGCAGCTCTCGAAGCCTCTGCTTGGGAGTCTTGGTGAGTAAGAAATTGCAGGGAACAGGGCCCTCCTCAAAGGTGACCCGGCAATGTTGTTTGACTGTATGGTAGCCCTCAGCGCTGGCTGCCACCACGTAGTCCCCAGGAGTCAGCAGCCGCCAATAATCTCCACCCCAGGCTGACAGAAGTGAAGCCAGAAGGTTAGATGGGATTCAAGGATCTGCAACTTCTGACCAGTTGAAAGGCCCCCAGTTTCGCCCTCTGCCCCCACCACACACACACACACACACACCTGTTGTAACATCGTGGTTAATGCCTTCCACAGCAATGACAGCATCTGCAATCCCCAGCTCTGTGTCTTTGTCCCGTACAACTCCTGCAATGCCCATGCGCACCTGTGAAGCAGAAGTCTTTGAGTGGATTTTGTTGTTTATTGTTATGTTGGTGGTGGGGTTTTGTTTGTTTGGTTTTGGTTTTCTGAGACAAGGTTTCTCTGTGTAGCCCTAGTTGTCCAGAAACTCACTCTGTAGACCAGGCTGGCCTCAAACTCAGAATTCTCCATGCCTCTGCCTCCCAAGTGTAGGGATTAAAGATATATGTCACAACCGTCCAGATGAAGATTTGTTTTAAGGCAAAGTCTCAATATGTAGTCCAGGCTATCCCTGAGCCTGATTCTCCTGCCTCCATTTCCTAAGTTCTAGAATTACAGGCATTGAGTCACATCTGTCTGTATAAAAGTTTTTCAGAACCTTGAGGTGGATGTAAGATTTCAAGTTTGAGACACTATCCTGGGCTACAGAGTGAGACATTTTTTCCCCCTTTGCGTAACAGTGTGACTTCATTAACTTTCTGGCTGTTGCCTTGCAAGTCTGATAAGGTGCCAGGTCTACTATGATCCTTGGTGAGAAAATTTCTAATAAAAAGGAGAAAAGGGAGGGAAAACTGCAGCTGGGATGTAAAATAAATAAATTTATTTTAAAATGATCTCTAATTGCTAACTTAAACCTGGTCTTATCTTGTAAAGGTGTAACATTGGGCCTTCCTAAGTGTGGTAGTACTGTATTAGGCTTGTACTTGTGTATAAGTAGGTGTCCCTGAAGAGGGCATCAAGGTTCTCTATCACTCTCCTCCTATTTAAGTCGGGGTCTGTCCTTGAACCTGGAGCTTACACTTGGCAAGGCTGGAAGCCAGCAAGGCTCAGCAATTCTTGTCCACCCACCTCAGAGCCGGGGTTACAGGTATTTATGGGATGTTCAGCTTGTTGCATGGGTTCTGGGATCTGAAATTCAATCCTCTTTTAAAAAAATGATTTTTTCATTTATTTTGTGTGGGGCTATGTTTGTATATGTGTGCACACATGCCATGGCAAGTGTGTGAAGGTCAGAGAACTTGAAGGAGTTGGTTCTCTCCTTCCACCATGGATATCCTAGGGATTAAAGTAGGTTGTTAGGCTGAGCAGCAGGTGCCTTTACCTACTGAGCCATTTTACACGGGGGAGATGTCTTTTGTAGAATTCATGGATGCTATTCTTATAAAGTCATTCATAGGGATCTTAACCCCTGAGGGATGTAACATTTTATACCAAGGCAGTTTTTACATCTCATTGTCTTTTCTAAGAAAAGCTATACTGACAATGACAGGTTTGTGACAGTTCCAGGGACCACCCCTTAGCCTTAGGTTACTCTGGAGTCTAGTTCCATTGGTTTATAACATCTAAAACCACTCTACTAGCAAAGTGCACTTCCTCGCATAGATCATTCCAAGACAACCTGATATCACACGTGGCCCACAATGTAGTGGAAATCTGATTCCAATTAAGATTGCTGGTGCCCTGGTTCCTTAAGGTGCACCTCCTGGGCAGCAGGCTGGCCAGGGTAATTCAGGGTGGCCAGGAACTGGGGATTCAGATCCCACCTGCTCCAGGTAAGTGAGAAGGGCATCTTTGTTGTTTTCCCACTCCTGAGGCAACTCCTTTTCATGAGGGAACTTGTCACAGGACAGCTCCACAGTGACTTCAAAGCAATTGGTGTGTAGGTAGCTGAAGTCGTTCATGCCTGGGAATAGCAAAGACACTGGAGTGTTAAGTGGGTGGATAGGAGCCCCACTCTCCTGGTGCTCTTGATAGACACTCAGGGTAGGGATTGACAAGATTGACAAGTACTATATATTACAAAAGATCATTATGGGATAGGTGGTTACAAACAGGACTAATTCTACTCTCAGACACATACTCCCAGGAACTGTGTGCCAGTCGGCTCCATTAATGACATTGCCATGCAAGGAGAAGTCCTGGCTATGACAAGGTCGGCGATCCGTGTCTTGCATGACCCTATTAGTGCCAGCATAGACAGTGCTAAGCCAGCGAAAGACAGCATCATCCGGTGTGGGGGTGAGTTCACGAGCAGCCCACGGGGTCCGTGTCATGTCGAAAGGGTAGGACACCACAAGTTCACCCCCATGGAGGTTGGCACTTAGCACAAACGGAATGCGTTTCATCCATTTGATCACTGCCCATGTTTCAGGAGCCACCTAGACACGGGTAGGTGAGGATGGGCTGCACACAGAGACAAGGGGCCTTTGCCAGCCCTTCACCACTGCCCCCAAATACTCACAGTGGCATTAGGCAGTGTATAGTAATTAGGCAGTGGCAGGTGATGGTTGGGGACAGTGTGGGGTACCAGCCCATCATCTTCTGCATACCACAGTGGTGTGTTGAGGTCAGCAAAATTGTGGTTAAGGTCAATGCCCTGGTGGGTCCAGCGACCCTCTGCCCAGCCCACCAGCTCTGAGCCCTGCCAAGAAAGGGCCTTGTTCGAGTCAAACAGGCTCTGTGTACCACGGCAGAAGGAACAGGGAGGCCCTTGCACCAGGTGGCCTACCCTGTGGTAGGCAGTCTCATAGCCATCAGGATTCATGGAGGGCAATAGGTGAATACGTGTCTCAGTAAGCAACCGCGTCACTCGTGGGTCCCCTCGCAGGAACTCTTGACATAAGAACTGCATCAAAAGCAGAAGTAACTCCCGCCCCAGGGCCTCATTCCCATGCATGCCAGCCACATAGCGGACCTCAGGCTCTCCTGGAAACACATGGAGGCTTAGAGCTAGCACACACCACAGCCTGCCCTCTGCCCATTTCTTCCCATGCCATCAAACAGTACCCAGCTCATGCTCCCCAGGCTGGTCTGACATCTCCATCACATACAGCTTCAGACCCTGGTGGCTCTTCCCGATGCTGTAGATACGGGTGATGTTGGGGCATTGTTCATTCACCTGTTTCATCAGCTGGGAAGCAGAGGGGAGCACAAGGCCATTACACACAGAAGTCAGACCAAGAGAAACCATGGAAGGACTTACAGAGCCAGAGGTGCACACAGATGGGAGCAACACGGTATTGATCCAGAAAAGGCATAGTAGACCAGAAAGAAGGGACAGAGAGGGGTGGTATCATGACAAGGGCAATTAGAGCAGAGCTTAGGGATCATGAAAAATGAAGAACAATGGGACACAGGAACAGGAGGCTCATGGGTAGTCACAGCCAGTTTGCCCTGGTGGAGAGGGGCTAGGCAGGCCTCCTTCCTGGGTCACAGGGGTTGGATCTGACCTTCCTCATAGCCTTATAATTGTGATGCCGGAAGTCCAGAGAGTCAGCAGATCCCAGTGTGTGGGCCTCAGGAAACAGGTCATTAGGATCTGGTGGGAAGCAAGTTCCAGGTAAAATTAAGTTCACAGTAGAGGATGCCCCTGAAGTCAAGCCCTGCCCATACAGCATTCGCCCAGATGCCCACCTGAGACCGGACAGGCTAGGATCTCTGCCCGGAGGCAAGGTGCACCTCTCTGGAACCAGGTCTGAGGCAGCAGGCGAATGAAGCGAGCCACCTGAGGCTCTGGCAGGAGGTTCAACACCGGGGTCTCTGGGTCTGAATTGGCAGGAAATACCTGGGGATATGGAGTCCTTGCTGAGGCTGCTCAGACCTGACACTGGCCCAAGATCCAGGGAAGGAGTTCTGGTTCCCACACTCACAAGCCAACCCTCCCTGGTGGGTACAGCTGGAGATAGATGTGCACGCTATCAAACATGGACTCCCCATTTCCATAGCTCCTGCCAGTAGGCAGCTTTGGGCAGCTGTGTTTTCTGACATGGTCTCAGCTCATTAGAGCAACATACCCATTCTGCTGCCTTGTATAAAAGAGGTCCACAAGATGGAAAAACAGAGCCATGAACAGGCAAGAATTAAATAAGCCACAGGCTCAAGGTCAGAGGGATTCCCCAGGAGGAAGCTGCAGCATCCATCCCATGGTAGAGTTAGTGGGGATATCCCAAAGGAGCTGGTTCTGGGTGAATAACTGCCCTGTGAATGCACAAAGTCCTGGATTTGAGCCTTGGCACTGCAAGAAACCCAACATTCTCCTGGAACTTAAGTGTGTATCTGCTTTTATTTGCAGAGAATTTTCTCACTAGCCCAGCACCAACAGGCTGGTCCCAGACACTACTGGGTCACTTACCATGTCCATCCCACTGCTGTGATTCCTACTCTTCCACCAGGTCTGACTGTCATTGCTGAACTGGACCTTATAGGATGTGACCCAGTCATACCTGGTCACGGGGACAAAGAGAAATATTGTACAGAAATATTGCCCAAGCAGTACCATTGCAGTACTTCTGTGTCTGTCCACTAATCACTTCCAGGCTAAGAGTCAGCCTCCCTCACCTCCACACAGAATTTCTGCCCTGTGTAACAATCCCTGAGAAGCGGACAGGATTCTTAGCATCCACCTGAAGCCAAGGCTCGGTGTCTTGTTGCTCAGCACACCAAGCCCCATCATACAGATCACCGTCTTCCAGACCTGACTGTGGATACAAGGTCATGGTGATCAAGCCAGGTGGGGCAACAGACAAGGGCTAGGATGGGGGAAGAGAAGGAGAAAGTCCTAAGGCTGCTGACCTGGATGTTGAGCCGTCCTCGGTGTGGTCCAAGACCAAAAGACTGGCTGCTGGAGGCCTCGAGCTGGCTATCTGAAACCCGCAAGGACTCTAGGCCTAGAGGGGGGCACCCTGGAGTAAGGACAGAACAAGGAGACGAGATCAGATAGAGGGTAGCCAGAGCAGCTCAGGAGATGAGCCTGAGTGTGAAAGGCAATACCTGGTTCTTGTTTCTCAGGGAGAGTGAGGGTCTTTCCTGGGCTAGTGGTCACCAAAGGCCTGGAAGTCACTGAAGGACTGGGCTGCCTTAGCTTCTTTCTCTTCTTGACAATGACCTTTTTCTTCTTGATGACTCGAAGCCGGATGTGCTGTCCTGAGGTCTCTAGGGTACCAACCGGAAGGCAATGCACCAGGGGAAGAAAGAATGTCATGAAACCCAGCTGGAAAGGTCTGTTAGTCCCAGAAGGCATTCAAGCATATGGGACACTCACTGTTATTACCCAAGCCTTAGCATGGCATCCAAGTCCTGTCACCCACCCCCAACCTGCCTTTCTTAGTCACTTCCTTGGTGTTACTTCTTACACGATCACATCTTTGGACAGTGTGCCCTCTGACTCTGATCCGGTGGCGAGCAATTCTGAGCCACTAGAAATTGGCCACTTCCAAGATTCAAGTTTAGTTTTTAACCACAAGACCTTGCAGCAATACTACCTCGCACCTCTGATTTTGCACCTCCCCCGACCATCCTCCAAGCCATCCTTAGTTTCAGACTAGGCCTCAGGTCTTGTCTTGAAGTCAGTGCTTGGTCTACCAGCTGGCCTCAGAGCTCTGACTTCCCATGGGAAGAAGTCGGAAGGCCAGGCAGCCTGCCTGTACCCACCAGGAGCTAGTGACCCTTTTCCTTCAGGCAGCCTCATCATCCTTTCTTTCCCCCTCCAGTCCTTGCCCTTAAACTCTCTCCTACACAGGCTTACTCTGCCCCTTTTAGTCTGGTGTCTCTTCACCTTTCTTGAATTTCTCCAGACTCTGGCCTCAGTGTCTTCATTTGTGAAAAGAGAAGGCTGGAGCTGGAGCAGCCAGCATCCCAACTGGGCCTGCCTTGGAACTGCTGACTAGGTCTGACCCGAATGGGGTTGCTGAGTCAGCAGCCATTGCACACGGCTGTGTGTCCCTGTTCACAGGGCGGGCTGGATGGAGGACCCAGCTGGGGGAGTGGGTCTGACCTGCCCAGCAGTCGATCGTGGGTCCCAGAGCTCACCATTTGCCTTCATGGACGGCTGTGTAAAGCTGCTATGTGGAGCCAGGGTTGAGCCCGGAGCCAGGCCCAGCACTGAAGCGCTGGGTGCCCCCAGACTCAGACCGACGGAAGGTGCAAAGGCAGTCACAGCGAGCAAGAGACCCCACATAGCGGGAGGGTCGGCGGGCCCGCTGTGCCGAGGCTCTTGGTGGGTTCTCTTCTTCCTGCGGGCGCCTGCGGAGCCCCCCGCCCCTTCCTGCCCGCCCGCTCTCCTCCGCCCCACGCCCCTCTGCAGCCTCCGGCCCGCCCACAGCCACTCGCTGCAATCCGACCTCCTAGGAGAGGGGAGGGCGGGTTGGGTAGAGCCGCGAGGTACACTAGTGGCGGAGGACTCGGGTGAGCCGCCAGGACCCTCGGCGGTGGCTGCGGGCTGGGGCCTGCCCTGCGACCTAGTGCCGCATCCTCAGCGGTGCCCGCCTGTCACTGTCTGAGAAGCCACCGCACATTCCATTTGACCGCGCGCGCCCATCCCACCGCGGGCACTTATGCAAGGCGTTTTGCACGTGGCCTGAATTTTAGCCAAACTTCAGTTTACAGGCTGGTAAACTGAGGCTCGGAGCGGCGGCTAGTTGATGTGGCCCAGGCAGCGAAGCTTTGAGCTTTGGAGAGGAAACAACCTGCGTGCTAACTCCTTCCAGAGCTTCGGGTGCTTTGCTGCTGCGGGTGGAACAAAGCGGAAAGTCCGCTGGAAAACAGCGGTGGAGTGGGGGGTTAAGGGCTCAGGGCTGCGGGCGGGTGAGGGTAGGTGAGAGGGTCTTCCATTAATCCCAAAGACAATCCATGGAGTGCAAAGAGAGGCGGCACTTCTCCACTTCACCACCATCCTCGTTTCTGCCTCTTGTCTTTTTCCCTCCCTGTGCTGCCACGTTTGGGGGGTTACATAACTCGAGGAAGGCAGCCAGAACTGATAACCGAAGAACTGGCGTCAAGAACCGAGAGACCAAAGCTTGGTGTGCGCCCAGTTTTCTCTGTTCCACTTCCTTCCCCTCTTACTCTTCTCAACCTCCAGGAGTTCTCAGACCCCTCTGGTCCCTAGAACCCACCCAAAAGAAAGGCCTGCGCTTCTGGTGCTTGTTTTGCCTTTGCTTCTATTCCCACGGGTACAGGGCCATGGTCTGTGTAAGCAAACTGAATAATCTCATCATCAAATCGGCGCCTTTCTGGCAACATGAACAGAACCAAGGTCTGGTAGAAGTGCACGAGGCCATATGTGGGGCTCCTGAACTAAGGCCACCTCCGGAAGGGACCACTCCAAGGGAATAAGCCCTACCCTCTGGTCCAACTGTGGCACTCGAGAGAGGGGCAGAGAACTCTGAGAAGGGAGTGATCATCAAGGACCAATGCATAACCAAGTCCCTTCTTGGCACCCCCACCTAAGCAGCAGGTCTCCTGAAAGAGAGGCACAGAGAAATTTAAGGAGGCCTCTGTGATAAAACACAGACCAAAAGCAACTTAGGGAAAGAAAGGATTTATTTTTGTTTGTAGGTTCATCCAGGGGACATCAAGGTAAAACTCAAGCAGGAGCTTGAAATAGAAACAGGAGAAAAACCCTGCTGGTTAGCTATCAGACCCATTCTTAGCTAGAATGGTGCCACCCACAGAGGGCTAGGCCCTCATATATCAATTAACAGTCAAAACAATCCCCATAGGCCAATCTCATCTCTGCATTCCGAGGTTGAGGTTTTCCTCTCTGATGTATCAGGTTGACAACAGAAGCTCACAGGATATACACAGATCTTCTGAACACAGGGCTAATGCACATATGCAAGACAACAGACTCTGCTTCCTTGAGTTACAGGCCAATATCTGAAATGGTGGAGGGCTCTGGGTTTCCACCAGAAGACCACGCTCAACAAAGTTTCCCAGAGATCTGTAAAAGGGAGGAGGGGAGAGAAAAGTCCCAACAAAAAAGATATCTCGGCCTAAGCCCCTACTCCTTCCTTCCATACTCTTCCTCAGAGCTCCTTTATGCCCCTCTCAGTCCCTCAACAACTTAGCATCTCCTCACACCCGTCTCTTACTAGGCTACTGCCTCTGGCCCTGGCCACTGGGTATTTGGGACTGCAAAGGTAAGAGACATCAAGACAGACTCAAAGGATGATGACCCCAAGTATACAATGGGAAGTTTATATTCAGTCACATACAAATCCTGGTCTCTATCTCCAAGAACCAAATGGAGCATCTTTGGCTGCCACAGGGACAAGTATGTTTCAGGGAACACCTAGAAGGTTGGATGGGGCACCTGTCCAAAGGAGATTTTAGTTTAAGAGACAAACTGGGATCAAGAGTTCAAAGACAGCAGGAGAAAAACCCTGCTGGTTAGCTATCAGACCCATTCTGATAGACCCATTCATAGCATGAACAGGACAGCAAGCCTTGACCTCAAAATGAAACATTAAAACAAAGAATATAATGGATAAACAGAATTCTGATGTCATTTTGTCTTTTTGGTTATATGTTTGTCATCTTTTTCTGTGCAGGAAATACCAGTAATTTTAATTTCACATGATTATGAACTGGTAAGACTATTTGTGCTCTACATAGCCCAGACTGGTCTTGCCTTAGTTAGGGTTCCCATTGCTGTGAAGAGACACCACGACCATTTCCTTATAAAGGTAAACATTTAATTGGGTGCCTTACAATTCAGAATTTCAGTCTGTTATCACCAGGGTGGGACATAGCAGTGTGCAGGAAAACATGGTGCTGGAGGAGCTGAAAATTCTATATCTCAACCCAAAGACCACAAGAAGTGAACTGAGACACTGGGCATATCTTGAGCACAAGAGACCTCAAAGTAGGCCCCCACAGTGACACCTTCCCCCAACAAGACCATACCCACTCCAACAAAGCCACATCTCCTAATAGTGCCACTCCCTATGAGCTTATGGGGCCTATTACATTCAAACTACCACAGGTCTCTATGTACCTGAAGATGGCATTGGACATCTGATCCTCCTGACTCTGCCTAAAGAGTGCTGAGTATGCATTCCCCACCACACCCAGTTTATTAAAAGTTGTGTGATTTAAGCTCTCTGATCCTCCCTGTTGGGCCATATTGAGTACCTGGTCAGTAGGGCTGCCATCAAAGACCTCAACTACATGGTCTGCATGTCCCAGTATGATTCCACCCATGGCAAGTTCCCTGGAAAAGTCACGGCTGAGATCAGGAAATTCGCCATCAATGGGAAGACAATCTCCATCTTTCAGTAGCAGGATCCTGCCAACATCAAATGGGGTGAAGCTGGTACCAAACAAACACCAGTGGAATCAACTGGTGTCTTCACCACCATGGAGAAAGCTGGGGCCCACTTGGAGAGTGGAGGCAAAAGTCATATCTCTGCCTCTTCTACTGTTACCCCCATGTTTGTGATGAGAATGAACCACGAGAAATATGAAACCCACTCAAGATTGTCAGCAATGCTTCCTGCACCATCAACTGCTTAGCCCTCCTTGCCAAGGTCATCCATGACAACTTTGGCATCAGTGACCACCGCACATGACATTACCACCCTCCAAAAAACAAACAAGCATGGATAGCCCCTCTGGGAAAGTGTGGTGTGATGGTTGTGGGACTGCCTAGAACATCAACCCTGCATCCACTGGCACTGCCAAGGCTGTGGACAAGGTCATGCCAAGAGCTGAGCAGGAAGCTCACTGGTAATGTGTCTGTTGTAAGTCTAAGCTGCCAGGTACAAAGACATGCAGAAGATGGTGAAGGGGCTGGAGAGATGGCTCAGTAGTTATGAGCACTTGCTACTCTCACAGAGGATCTGAATTAAATTCCCAGAACCCACAAAATGACTCACAACTGTCTGTAACTCCAGTCCCAGGGAATCTGGCATCCTTTTCTGATCTTTTCAGTCATCAGGCACACACATGGTACACTGACATAAATGCAGGCTAAACATACATACACAGGAAATAAATTTAAAATTGTTTTTAAAAGGCAATGAAGCCGAGCGTTGGTGGTACACGCCTTTAATCCCAGCACTCAGGAGGCAGGGTCAGGAGGATCTCTGTGAGTTTGAGGCCAGCCTGGTCTCCAGAGCGAGTACGAGGATAGACTCCAAAGCTACACAGAGAAACCCTGTCTCGAAAAACCAAAATGAAGCAGGCAACCTAGGGCTGTACAGGGCATTTGGGGTATATGAGGAGGAACAGGCTGTTTCCTATGATTTTTAGCAACAACACCCATTCTTTCATCTTTGATGCCGGGGTAGGCATTGCTCTCAATAACAATTTTGTCAAGTCCATTTCCTGGCATGACAATGAATTCAGCTACAACTGCAGGGTAGTAGAGCTTATGGTTCACATGTTCTCCATGGAATAAGGAGTCCTGGACCACCCACCAGGAAGAAAATGAAAGGAAGCGAGGCCCTTGGCTGCTGAGGAGTCCCTCTCCCAACTCAGCCTCCAATATACTTAGCATCTCCTGTCATAGTTGTCATCCCAGGCCTCCAGAAGAAGGAGGGCTTAAGAAGCCCTATTCCCTTAAAGTTCACTGCACCAGAAAAAAGGTTTAGAATTATGTTTTTTCTTTTTGAAAACTTTCAAATATTCCTCCTCTGATTTTTACTAACTTTTTTTAAAAAAAAGTTTCTTAGGGGTTTTGTTTATTACTCTACTTTCTGGACAGTTTCCTAAATGACTCCTCCAGGAGTTAGCTGTCATCAATAAACTCCACTGATAACTTTGACCTCCAGTAACTGATCATGGGGCTGCTTCATTTCCAAGCTGTGGGTGACTAAGTAGCCATCTGGGAATCAAAGACTCTCCCTCTTACCCTTTCTCTCAACTCGTGACTCCATCCTATCTTAGTGAATCAGCACTGTCCTGGTGAATCCTACTTCGAATGCCAATGTTTTTCCAGAGTCCCCAAGACGCTTTCTTGTTCAATGGTTTATCAGAAGAATTCACCAAAGTGATTATACTAATGTTCACATAGTGTGATAAAGGTTGCAGGCAGAATAAAACTGACAATAGAAGAATGTACATTAGCAGGGTACAGGAAACAGTGGGTATGAGCTTCCAGTTGTTTATATGAAAATGGACTCAGGGAGCCAGTACTTAATCCTTCCAGAAGTATTCGAGACCACATTCACCAAGTACTGTTAATAAGAAAAATTCACTGGAGTTTTGGTGTCCAGAATTTTATTGGAGATAAGCCATACAAGTATAGTTGACTGCCCATGTTGGTGGACGTTAGTCCAAACCCTCTAGAGGCCAAGGTAATCCTAGTTTCTGGTCTAAGTCCTCAGCAAAAATTACATTGCTGGCATGGACTATTTGATATGGCCTGTGTAAACAGAGACACTTATACTGAATAGGATATTCCAAGGACTTAGAGACTAGCTCCTTAGAGAGCCCAGCAAGAGCCAGCCACTTTTGGGTTTATGAGTTGCTAGAAGAGTGTGTTGGATCCCTTGGAGCTGGAGTTGCACGCAGTTGTGAGCCACCTGGTGTGGGCGCTGGGAACTGAACCCTGGTCCTCTGGAAGAGCAGGAAGAGCTCTTAATCACTAAGAAGCTCTACTCCAGTCCCAAGCCAAATAGTTTTTATGAATAAACATGTCACAAATCCAGATTTGCTGAATCGTTTATTACAAGATTGGCTACCATATGCTGTTAATTCCCCACTGACGTCCCCTTTACCAACAGTGTGCCCACCCCCATTGTTTGCCATTCATAAATTATAGCTGTTTGATTTCTACAGACAAAAGCGCTCAGCAGATAGAAGTTGCTTTCATGCTGAAAGTTACAGTTCTCTAACTTCCCTTCTCTTTCCTCCATGAAAGAGCTATCATCAATGACTGATTGATAAGATGGGACCAACTCTATAGCACAATTCACTGTTCTCAGAGCTATCTGCAAGGTCAGGCTAGACTCCAGACAAGACAATATGCTAGGTTATCCCTTTCTTCTACCCTGTCCTTCTCCTTCCTCATCTCCTAATTATTTTCTTTCTGAGAACAACTCCAAGCCCTCAGTAGAATGTCTGCCTTAGGAGTTATAACCCAACAGTAGATCTGGCACTCAGGGATCAATTTATAAATTATTGTTGGACAAAAAATAAACTGAGAAAACTCCAAGTAGAACTAACTACCCTACAAATTATGCGGAGCACCTTGCACACACTAAATCTTAAGGAGTATTAGCCGCACACCCCATTCCCAACCCCTTGCATTGTGGCTACTTCCTCTCGGTAGAATTGTCGGGACATGACTCTCAATTCCATAGTTCAGCGATGCAATCTTGTGGCTGCACCAGAAATGAACAGACTCATGGAACTGGCAATTGAAAACCTAGATGCTAATTTTCTCATTTGCAAAGACAATTGAGACTTAGACAAAAAAAAAAAAAAAAAAAAAAAAAAAAAAAAAAAAAAAAAACAGGATCATCTTCTGTTTCCTATGTCCCCATAGACAAACTTATCTGAAACAAAGTTCCCAGTCAAACAAAAGCCAGTGGAAAGGCAATAGGTAAATAATATTAAGGATAAATGGCACTGGCTCTATGGTTTCAAGTCCAACAGCACCAAACATGCCAAGGCCTGGGTCTTTGGGGACGGCTTCCTGGGAGACAGCTGAATGCCCTTCCTATCATTCTCACTCAATCTCTCCTTTTTCTGGGGCTATATTGTCATTGTCTATATTGTCACTGTCTCCCCTACCACACTCCCTTCAGTTTTCCTTCAAAGTATGAGTAACAGTTAAATTTCTAAGTCACTTCTACTCATCTTTTATCACCAAACTGTCCATGTACTTAATAGCTCTGCAACCACTCCCATTTCATAGATTCATTCAGTGGGAACACATTTATTCTCATTGAATAATAGTAACCAGCAATTGTGACCATAAATTTATTCCATGTTCATTCCTTAATTTCATTCTTAAACTGCAGCCCTAACTTCCTATTTGGAGTTTTTTGTGAGGCACAGTACTGCACGCCTGCAATCCTAGCACTCAGGATGTAGAGGCAGAGACTCACTGAGAGTTAGAGAGCACCTTGCATTACACGGCAATTTCAAGGCCAGCCTGGAAGGCATGAACAAACCCTAACTCAGAATAACTTGAGGTCACAATGTTGTAAGCCTCTTAGGTTCATAACCTCTATCTTTTTTTTTTCAAGTTTCTCTGAGCAGCATCTCACTATATAGTCCAGGCTGGCCTTAAACTCTCAATCTTCTTGCCTCCGCCTTCTGAGTGCTGAAATTAAGGCATAAGATACCATATCCAGCTCTCTGTCCCATTTCTGAAGTTATAACATCTCCCCAAACTGCAATGCTTAAGACATCCAATGGCATCCTCCTGCCACCCATAGCCTAGCTTACCCATTGGAAAAGCCTATTCTGCACCCCAGAGTTGGAGACCTAACTCCCCCACTACCCCCCCCCCGGGGCCTTACCCCACATTCAGGGAAGAGAAATGGGTACAGAAAAAATTAAATGGCTGAATGGCATCCCAGACACCCAGCCTGAGAACTTCCAGGAGGAAGCAGCCTCTCCTCCCTTGGCAGGAGTCCAAATAGTCATGCTGCTAGCATGCTTTCCTGACAAAGCCTGAAGCCATGGGAAGTCCCCCGGGGCAGAGAATTACTTGCCATGGCAATAACTAAGGGTGAGTACTAGCTAAGCGCTACCTAGGCTACCAGTGTTTATGAGGCAAGACAAACTGTTATCCTGTCCTTAACTCAAGGCACTGCCTGGGAATAAGTCACAATGCCCCAGGTGTCCAAATCCAGAATGGTCGGCCCAAGTGGGAGGAGGTGAGGAGGGTTTGGTGAAGATAGAGTGAGAGTTGGGGGTGGGGGCATCCACAAAGGGCCCAGTTCCCTATTCTCTGAGCTCACCCTTGAGTGTAAACCAGGGTCCTCCTTCCCCCTGATTCTTAATCTCCTAGCACTAGCTCCTCCTAATACCTCCAGCCCCAGTTCTGCTCGTCCATCCCCAAAGCCTTTATAGATTCCATATTATCCCTCCCAGCAGTCTGGATACTGGAGAGTGGTTGAGTAGGTCAGTGAGCCATGTGTGTCCCCTGGGACTTCAGCCAGGCCCAGCTCCTGGACAGTATCCTAGGGCTGGGGGCACTAGGAGTGACAATTGGAACAGTCTTCTCGAAAGCTGGCCTAGCCCTGCTGCTCCTGCTGCTGGCCAGCTTCCTTGCTTTTGACCTGCTCCATGGGTAAGTGGCAGCAGCCTGCCAGGTGGGTGTCACAAGCACAGAGTCAGATGAGCAATTGCCTTGAGCTGGCATCTTCTCTCTCCACAGGTCCACAGGTCCCATCCTGCCAAGACACAGACTTCTCCCGATGGGTCAGAGCCAGGGGGCTGGTGAAGGTCCGGGACAGCAGGCAGCTCCCCTCTTTCCAACAGGGATAGTCTCAGGACTACTCAGCCTCCAGGATGCCCTGTTCCTGCTGTTCCTGGGCCTGGGCCTATTCTTGGGAGGCTCTGGTATACCCTTAGCCCTGCTGGGCCTTGCTTTCTGCCTCCATCCTTGGGACCGAGGGCCCTCAGAAAACTGAATGCCTTCTAAAAATACATCGCCCATTCTGCTTCCCCGGCTCTCCTCTCTTCTATCCTGAGTTACAGAGGTTGTGGTGTAAGGGTAGAATACACTATTGTGTCAGCTTGAACCTCAGAGGCCTCTAGTTCCATAATATGGACATTTGAGAACTGGGTCTGAGGCTTAGGGTGATAAGAGAAGGCAGAGAAAAGGGTGGACACAACAACCAACTCCAGTCCTGCAGTTGGAGGTAGCCATCAAGAAGGGACGGGAGTGGGGAAGGGTTCCTACAAGCAAGAAGAATGGTATCTGGGAGGCTTGCTGAGCTCTCCTGCCAGCCTGGAAGGTCCGTAGTGAGGGACTCAAGTGAGTCTCACACTATGCTGCAGTAGCTCTTCTCTCAGCTGGGCCCCGCCCCAGCCCAGGTCACAATGGACTCCTCTGAGGATGGTGGAGTGAGTGAGGGTGAGCCTGGGACCTGGCTGCCAGGCCAGCCTGGGCACAACAGGAAACATCATGACTTAGGTGGCTCTGACCAAAGGTAAGTCCTAGGCCCCAGTTCAAAGCCCAATCCTGCCCGTGCTGGTATCCTCCTGACCCCTGCAACCCCACCTATCCAGAGATCCTGGGCATCTCCAGGGCTGCTCCTGCAGCTGGCCTGGCCCTGTCCACAGGTGCACCAGCCGTGATGCAGCAGCCACGAGTGGAGACGGATATCATCGGGGCTGGCGAGGGGCCCCAGCGGGCAGTGCCCTGGTCAGCCTGGGTCACCCGTCAGGACTGGGTGCGATGGTGGGCATGCCACATGCCCCGGAGCTGGTCCCAGTGGTGGAATACATCAGGCTGGCGGCAACCTCTACAGCGTATGCTATGGGGTCTGGAGGGGACACTCTACCTGCTGCTCGCACTGATGCTATGCCATGCACTCTTCACCACTGGCTCCCACCTGCTGAGCTCCCTGTGGCCTGTGGTGGCTGTGGTATGGAGCCACCTGCTGCCAGCTATCCTGCTGCTGGTACTCAGTGCCATGCCTGCTCTGCTCTTCGCTGCCTCCTTCCTGCTGCTCTTCTCCACACTGCTGAGCCTCGTGGGCCTCCTTACCTCCATGACTCACCCAGGCTATGCCCAGGACTTGGACTAATAGAAGGGCAACCCCATCTTATTGCCTGTGTCTGTTGAGCCCTGGCCAAGGTCTGAGCCCTGTGGGGAACGTCAACAGACCTCAGACCCCCAATCACAAGCACAGGTGGAGGTCTGGCTTCTGGGAATCTACCTTAAACCCATGTTGGTGTCGGGGACAGGACAAATGGTTCAGCCAGGGCCAAGATCTTGGTCAAACCACTGAGAACACCTGTACAGATGTGGTAGCAACACTTGGTCTCCCAGGCAGCATCTTTTTATCATACCTCCCAGCCCTCCCTGCTTCAGGCTTCCTGAGAGTTTACACCTATATATCCCTGGTCTCATCACTCTGTGTGGATTTGTCATGGATCCTCTGCTTCCAGAAGGAGCATAGACTCTGGGAAAGAACCTTACTGAAAGATAGACAGGGGTGGTCCTGGTCCAAAACCCTGGTGACCTCACCTCAATCACCTCCCAGAAACAGGAAATAGACCAATCATCATAGTGAGGTGTGTGTGTGTGTGTGTGTGTGTGTGTGTGTGTGTGTGTGTGTGTGTGTGTACACATGCTAGAGAATGAATCAAGGCTTTGTACGTAAGCATACACTCCACCCTACATACATACAGAGCCTCCAGATCTGTTAGGAAAGAACAAGTCCCATTTCAGACACCTACACTTTGGCCAATTCATTATTTTTGAATCTCATTGTTAAGTGGGTCCCATTCTTTTCATGGGACTGTTATGATCCAAAGTCAGTATCTATTTGCAAAATACTTTGGGTTTTTGTTGTTGTTTTTGTTTTCATTTTGAAACAGGGTCTCATGAAGTCCAGGATGGCTTTGAACTCACTATTTAACTGAGGAGGACTCTGAACTTCTGATCTATTGCCTCTACCTCCAGAGTACTGGGATTAAAACTTGTGCCACAATGCTTGGTTTTATGAAAAGTACTTTGTAAGGCCAAAAAGCAGTTAAGATGTTTTGGCTCCAAGAACATTCTACAAGCGCAAAAAGCCTTTCAATCCAGAAGTTAAGATGATGAAGCAAGTTTCTTTAGAATTCCAGAGAAATTCTGTCGTGGATAGAATCTCAGCCCTAAAATAGTTAACACAGAATAGATGGTGTGGATGAAATGTAAAAGGTTGTGTCATACAACCTCAAACTGGGCAGATATTGAACTATACTGGTTGTGCAATGCTTGAGGTTGTAGCCAGGAAATGCTTGCAATGCTGTGTGAGTAGGGAAGTAATAGCTCAGGGATTTCCAAAATTGATCAAGCAAGTTGTTTACATCCCAGAAGGTTTTGGTCATCCATAAGTCCTCAGAGTCTGGCCATTTACCTATCTGCTGACCCCTCCAACCAAAATGTTGAGTATCAGTTACCAAATAAAGTGACAGACATGTTAGATAATTTGCCAGGGCCCAGCTAACAGTCTTTATCCACACCCACCCCTTCCCATTTCCTCCTGCTTCCCAATTCCTTATCTGTTTTTTAATTTTTATTTTTAATTTCTCATATTTACATATCCATCCCCCCATTCCCTCACCCTCCCATGTTCTTCACCCAACCCACCCCAACCTACTCCCCGACTCCTCTCCAGGAATAGTGAGGCCCTCTACCAAGGACCTTCAAAGTCTGTCATATTGTTTGGGGGAAAGTCTAGACCCTCGTTGCTGTATCTGGGCTGCAATAGTATCCCTCCATAGGGAGTGGGCTCCCAAAGACCATTTGTGTTCTAGGGATAAAGACTGGCTATGCTGTCAGAGGAGCCATAGACTGTCTTGGGCTCCTAGCTGGTAGCCACATTCAGAGAGTTTGGTTTGGTCCAATGCTATTTCCCCAGATTTATGACTAGGATCTCCATTCTATCAGTAGGTCAGGTCCACTGTTTCTGCAGGTCTCTCCATCCCCATCTTGGCTCCTTTGGTCAACCCTCCTCCCTCTCCACAACTGAATTCCAGTAGTATGGTTCAGTGCTTAGCTATGGGTGTCTGTTTCTGCTTAGAACAGCAACTGGATGAAGACTCTCCTTCCTTTTCCTGCCCTGGGCTCCAATTTTGTCAGGGGTTCTTGTCCCCATCCCCTTCTTCGAGGGACTATGCAATCTTCTCTTGGGTTCCTCCTTGTTTCCTAGCTCCTCTGGCAGTGTGGAATTTAGGCTAGTGATCCTTTGCTCTATTTCTAAAAATCAAAAATGAGTGAGTATATACCATGTTTATCTTTTTGTGATTGGGTTACCTAACTGAGTATGGTTTCTTCTAGTTCCATCAATTTGCCTGCAAATTTCAGGATTTCATTGTTTTTTTTTTTCCACTGAGTATAAATGTACCACATTTTCTCTATCCATTCTTCAATTGAAGGTCATCTAGGTTGTTTCTAGGTTCTGGCTAGGTTCTGCTATGAACATAGTTGAACATATGTCCTTATTGTATGAGTGTGCATTCTTTGGGTATATGCCCAAGAGAGAGATTGCTGGATCTTGAGGTAGACTGATTTCCATTTTCCTGAGAAACTGCCATATTGCTTTCCAAAGTGGCTGTACAAGTTTACTTCCACCAGCAATGGAAGAGAGTTCCTCTTTCTCCATATCCTCTCCAGCATAGATTGTCATTTGTTATTGATTTTAGCCATTCTGACAGGAGTAAGATGGTATCTCAGAGTGGTTTTGAGTTGCATTTCCCTGATGGCTAAGGATGTTGAGCACTTTCTCAAGTGTCTTTCAGCCATTTTGGATTCCTCTGTTGAGAATTCTCTATTAAGTTCTGCACTCCATCTTTTAGTTGTGTTGTTTGGTGTTTTGGTGGGCAGCTTCTTGAATTCATGTATATTTTTGTGATCAGCCCTCTGTCAGATGTGGGGTTGGTGAATATCTTTTCCCATTTTGTGGGCTGGCGTTTTGACTTGCTGACTGTCTCCTTGGCTTTACAGAAGCTTCTCAGTTTCAGGAGGTCCCATTTATTAATTGTCCATCTCAATGTCTGTGCTACTGGTGTAATGTTCAGAAAGCAGTCTCCTGCACCAATTTGTTCAAGGGTGCCACCTACCTTCTCTTCAAGGAGGTTCAGTGTGGCTGAATTTATGTTGAGGTCTTTGATCCATTTGGATTTAAGTTTAGTGCATGACGATAGATATGGATCTATCTGTAATCTTCTACATGTCTGAATCCAGTTATGCCAGCACCATTTGTTGAAGATGCTTTCTTTCTTCCATTGTATAAATTTAGCTTCTTTGTCAAAAATCAGGTGTTCATAGGTGTGTGGGTTAATATCAGGGTTTTCAATTCGATTCCATTGGTCAACCTGTCTATTTTTGTGTCAATACCAAGCTGTTTTCAGGATTATGACTGTATAATAGAGCTTGAAGTCAGGGATGGTGATGCCTCCGGAAATTTCTTTATTGTACAGGGTTGTTTTGGCTATCCTGTTTTGTTTTGTTTTTTTCATATGAAGTTGAGTTTTGTTCTTTCAAGGTCTGTGAAGAATTGTGTTGGGATTTTGACGGGAATTGCATTGAATCTGTAGATTGCTTTTGGCAAGATTGCCATTTTTACTATGTTGATCCTACCCATCCAAGAGCATGAGAGATCTTTCCATTTTCTGGTATATTCTTTAATTTCTTTCTTTAAATACTCAAACTTCTTACTATACAGGTCTTTCTCGTTTTTGGTTAGTGTTACCCCAAGACGTTTTATGTTGTTAGTTGCTATGTGAAGGGTGATGTTTCTCTGGTTTCTTTCTCAGCACATTCATCTTCTGTATATAGTAAGGCTACTGATTTTTTTTTGAGTTAATCTTGTATCCTGCCACTTTGGTGAAGGTGTTTATCAGCTGTAGGAGTTCCCTGGTAGAGTTTTCCGGTTCACTTATGTAAACTATCATATCATCTGCAAATAGTGAAAGTTTGACTTCTTCCTTTCCAATTTGTATCCCCTTGATCTCCTTTTGTTGTCTTATTGCTCTAGCTAGGACTTCAAGTACAATATTGAAGAGATATGAAGAGAGTCGACAGCCTTGTTTTGTTCCTGATTTTAGAGGAATAGCCTTGAGTTTCTCTCTGTTTAGTTTGATGTTGGCTGTTGGTTTGCTGTATATTGCTTTTATCATGTTTAGATATGTTCCTGTTATTCCTGATCTCTCCAAGACCTTTATCATGAAGGGATGTTGGATTTTGTCAAAGGTTTTTTCAGCATCTAGTGAGATGATCATGTGGTTTTTCTTTTCCTTTTTTGTTTATATGGTGGATTACATTGATGTATTTTAGTATGTTGTACCATCCCTGCATTCCTGGGATAAAGCTACCTTGATCATGGTCGATGATTTCTCTGATGTGTTTTTGGATTCGATTTGCCAGTATTTTGTTGAATATTTTTGCGTCGATGTTCAAGAGGGATATTGGTCTATAATTCTTTTTTTTTTTGTTTTTTGGTAAGTGATATTTATTCAGAAAATTGTCCATTTCCTTTAGATTTTCGAATTTTGTGGAGTACAGGTTTTCAAAGTATGACCTGATGACTCCCTGGATTTCCTCAATGTTCGTTGTTGTGTCCCCCTTTTCATTTCTGATTTTGTTAATTAGCATGCTCTCTCTCTGCCTTTTGGTTAGTTTGGATAGAGGTTTGTCTATCTTGTTACTTTCTCGAAGAACCAACTCTTTGTTTCATTGAGTCTTTGTAGTGTTTTTCTAGTTTCTACTTTACTGATTTCAGCCCTCAGTTTGATTATTTCCTGGTGTCTATTCCTTCAGGCAGTGCTTGCTTCCTTTTGTTCTAGAGCTTTCAGTTGTGCTGTTAATTCTCTAGTGTGACTATTCTCCAGTTTCTTCATGTAGGCACTTAGTGCTATGAACTTTCCTCTTAGCACTGCTTTCAAAGTGTCCCGTAGGTTTGGGTATGTTCATTCTCATTGAATTCTAGAAAGTCTTTAATTTCTTTTTTTTATTTCTTCCTTGACCCAGGAATGGTTCAATTGCACATTATTTAAATTCCATGAGTTTGTTGGGTTTCTGCAATTTGTGTTGTTG